GATTCTTTTTGAATTGCAATAGAGTATTGATATATTTTAATTAAATTGTTCTAACATAAGTAAGGATATGGATGGAAATAAAATTATTGTTCATATGATGGTAAGAATTGACTTAGGATTTTTAGCACCAGTTCAATATTGACTATTACTATTTAAATTCAAACTCAAATAGGATGCAACAAGCATAAATACATACAAACTTCTGTTTTAACACTTTGATTTATTTTATTTATCTTTTCTAATTTTATGATATCTTTCTGATTAAAATAAATAGTAAACTCATAACATTTTCATGAAAACAGATTCTTGCATTTACATGTATAAATAACAATATTTAATAGTTTTCAAATTATACTAATTTTCTGAGATTAAGTATGCGTTTATAATTCTATTTAAATATTATAATAAATTTCATACCATTTAATTAATAATACTAGATTATAATTATGCATATTGTTATAAAGTTTACAATTCTATTTAATTGTTTCAATCACATTTTAAATATTTGCTATAATAACAATAAGCAGTATTACTTAGAAACAGAAATGATCTATTTTGCCTAAAAATTTTTAAAAAGGATCTGGTTTTTTCTATCTTAAATTTTAATCTATATTACCATCATCTAATTACTATCTAATTCAATAAGTCACTTAATAAAAGCATATATATGTGAAAATAAATTATATATAATTAAATTACACAAATAAATTGGGAGATATATTTAAAATAAGTATCACATTCAAGTAGACATTCATTATCTTTATTCTTTAGATGAGTAATAAAATTGGATTATCAAATTTATAAAATTTTTGATCATATCATCCTTGTTAGACAGGAATAATTATATATAAAATATGATTTTCCTCATATTAAATTTTTTGTCACAAGTCTTTGCCTTCTCAGAATTGATTTATTAATTTAATGCTTCAGTAAATGGTCTTGAAGGTTATTATTTTTTCTCTATTATAAGGATGGTAGGGTGAGTCTACTATATTTATATTGAATAACAAAGGTGTAAAATTGTATGGAGGAAATACACCAACATTTAGTAGAATATTTCTAGATCTAAAGCCTCACTATTAAATAAAAATAGCAATGGAATTCTGGTTTTAAGAGGATTTTGAATTATTTAGAAGTAACAATTGGAATTCTTAAATTTAAAAATGTAAATCAATGGTGTACCGATCTTGAATAAATTATATAATAATTTAACTTTGGTCCTATATATTTTGGTTAATATTATGATGTTATAACTATTTTATAACCATAAAAGAGAAGGACTGTTTTATATACATCATTGAGATTTTAGGATTGGTATTCAAAATATAATTATTTAAGATAAAATGTGGTATAAGAACTTTTAGATTTTATATTGAAAGATGCCCTCTAGAATGTGAAATTTGTGATAATTTTGATTATTTAGATTGTCACAATTGGTAGCTTTATAAGCTCAATATTAATTTTCAACCTTATAAGGATGGTCAACTGAATTAGGTTGGAGTTTTTCAACAATTAATTTTTGTGTGCTTACTGTCAATTTCTTAATTAAGAAGGGGTCAAATTTAATGGAGTGTTACCTTCTCAGAAAGACATAATATTAAGATTTTTTCGGTTAGGAACTGCATTTTCTTAAACAATAAATATCAATGGTTATATTAACACTGTAACATAATCGACAGAACCTTCCCTAATTGAATTGATTATTAATAATCACTATGAAGTAGATCTTTGTATGTTTATCTAAATGGCTTCAATAAGAAGATTAATACTCTACTCGATTAGTTTATAATTGCCATTAATTGCAAATGGCATTTGTGTTAA